CAGTAGATTTTGCCTGTTATGATGGGAGTGGTTTAGTTGTATTTGTTTGTGTTTGGATGATTTGTTTACCTTTCCTGTACATGGCACTCCTATCGTGTTTTGTATTGTTTTTGTTGTTGTGACGTTCTGGACATCCGTAAAAAAGAGCTTCATAGCTCATCGGATTCCTCCTGTAAAAATCAATATTCTGATTAAACCAACTGATATGTTTTAGCATTTAGTGTGTCGAGGCAATGTATAATAAGAAGCAGTTTTAAGTATTGCCTCGGACTACAATATCATTGTGGCAGCTCTCTCCGCTCTGCAGAAGGCACGGTGCTCAAAACGTTCATAAAAAACCAACCCCCCCCCCCCCGGCTCCTTTCGTCGCTTTCCACGTTTCTCTTTGAGCACGGGCAGCATTGCGAAAGTCTTAAACGGAGCCCACCATCGTTGGCCGCCCTCGTCACAGAGGGCCCCGCCGCGATCGTTGTCGGTCCTGGCATTCATGGGACGGCTGCTCGCCGATGCGGGGGTGATGCTGGGATTCGCAGAAATGAAAACCAATCTCCGTATGAATGGAACCCTTGTAGATTGGTGGCCAGCGCGCTCATCGTCGTATGGCACGTTTTCCCATCATTCTTATAAAGTGCCACAACAACAACACTTAAAATACCACAACGCGGAGCGTACATTGATTGCGTAAGTTGTACAGTAAAAACAAATATCTTCGCAAGTGTCATATGATGCAATGATGCCTCTGCACGACAATATTGTGAATGTAATTCGGCTTTGAGGAAATAAATGAACAATCCGATCATTTGTACCTATGCACAATAAGGTGTGCGAATGACAGTACACGTACTGTATATGTTGTGTCACAGAGACCCAACTCTCAATCAAAACACAACGAGTTCATATCCCTGCTGAGGCTCATGGCCTAGCACGTTCACTGCTTGTTGCAAAGCTTCACAGTTGGAGTCTATCGGCCACCCTGGTTATTACTGCGGGTGTATAAACCGTAAACATACACGTCATCTTGCTTCACAGTGGACATTAAATATCCCGTGACACCATTCGCAAGGGTGGGCCAATTTGTGCTTGCATCATGTACCACATTTAAAAAAAACACCTTCAAAATGACCTGTAAATAACTCATTTGGGATATTACACACAGCAGCATCAGCGAACATTCGGCATCACCCTCAAGTAAAAGAGTACGAAGACTCACGGATACCTTCCTGGGTAAACAAGCTCCGTAAAAATAACAACTCAAAACATCTTCATCAGCATTCCTCTGAGACTTGTAGAAAGTAAAACACGCCTGTTATACGTAGGCACTGGTTCCGTCCATATGAATGTGGAATTTCCATCGTTGCCTCATGGCTGTCAGTTGGAGCTGAGCGCTGCACAAGCGCATACTTAATCACGGCTACACTTGGGCTGTTTCAATGTCACAGTGCCATTGGATTGGTTTGGGTGGAAATGCTTCAGATATGTCTGTACTTGAAATAATTGTTAACCAAATAAGCCACAAACCAAGATTTCCATTGAGGCATTCTGGCAGGCTGGCTGGCAGTACCCACTGTTCCTTTCGTAGCCTGGGGCACTTAACTATAGCGCATGCATTTAAAAATGTGGGCGTTTCATGTAACGATTCTACAATTTGTGAAGTCAAACTTTTGATCTGGCGGCTGAGAGCTGCTCATAAAATGTGCAGCCCTGGTGCCACCACCGCTGACGATAAAATGAAATCTATAAAACCTTCACAGCATGTATTTGGCACGCTATGAATGGAATGAGTATGAGTACATTTTGCCTGACACAACTCATTTTGATTTGTTTCTTATGGGATGTTATTACATCGAACTGTTTTACAGTCCCTTTTTTTCAGTCCACTGCTGTGGATGAAGTCGTCCCACGCAATGATGTCATTGATGGGTGCTGTGCTTTGCCCATTTTTTTTGTACCACGTTGGTCAATGCGGGTTGTGGTTAAGGTGAGGCCCCATCGACAGTTGAGATATCACTCAACACTGATGGATAGTTGAACGCGTAGGCTTTCGCCACCAATGCTATTCACAATAAAGGTTTCATGGGTCAGATCGCGTAAGTATAAATGTGCTGTTGACCCACCACCACCACCGCCTGACGCAGCCAATCAGTGAGGTTTGTCACGTCAACAAAACGTGCCAATTAGTTACGACTGTACTTGAGCACATCTGTGCATTAGAGATTAAACCCACAACATTAACAACTCGAGCACGACGTTTTGTTGGTGATTGCAACCAGCTTCATCAGGCGATTTGGCAGAATTGTGAAGAAGTCTTCCTGTTTCAGTCTTAAACGAAGTATACATACAGGTGATGGCATCACTAATTAGCTGTATCGGGTGGTGCTGGCTTAACGACATATTCATATTTCCGCGATCTAACCTGTAAAACTTTTATTATGAACTCATTGTTAGCCATGGCTAGGAATCGAACTCAGGTGGTAGATTGTTTTAGTGCGCCGTGCCAACCACTGGGCCCTCTCTCCACCTCATGCACAATGCTACTCCAGTATAACCTACACAGCAAACTGTGGTCCTGTACTGTTGCTGGCAAGCGTTACTGAAATATAAACCGTACGTAGAAAACGACAAAACAACTTGGTTATGTGATGGTAGCTATGCCCCGGGCACTCTCATTAAATAATTGAAAGCAAAGCAAGTCACTGGCAAATACAGTTGTTGGTGCCAATGCTGTGTTTTAAATCTTTCTCAACAGATCCCACATCGCATTGGCGCGTACACACTGTATATTTGTCCTGTATTGGCCACGTCTAACTTAACTGTTAAAATTGCCCAAAGGACTTCTCCTTACGTTCATATGTGGCAGGCAACAAAGGCCTGCCTCGGGATAGGAGAGTAAATGATCGTGAAAATCAATGACATCAATGACATACTATAATACTATCATGTTTAGTGGTGGCTATGCTCGTGACCTGTAATCCAGCACTGTGGAGGCAGCGAGGGTTGGTGGGTCACACAAATGCTGCCCAACTCCCTTCCCGTGGGCATCAAGGCGTTGCCATACCCTGGTTTGCCGGGAGAAGGTAGGACACGGACGTAGACTCGACGAGTTCCGTCTCTATGGGGGTATAATCTTTCCCCCCACACGCATGGGGTGTTCTCTGGGTGCTCTGGTTTTCTCTCACATGTCAACATCCATGTAACTGGCCAATAACACCGCAATAAATTGAGGACTGCAGAGCTTGGAGGAGGAATGTGGCGCTACTGCCTGGCTACCTTCCCGCTTGTCTGCGAGTCGTTATCTCTCTTCGGGGGCGAGTGGATACCGTGTGGCGTGTCACAAGTTGAAACGTAATTCTATATTTGGTGGACACAACAAACAATGGAAACGTGTATATGCTTTCACCTTGCAAACATTCGATGATTGAAAGTTGATTGTAGATTTGAAGCTTTCGTGACTGCAAGGAATCATGCTCTTAGTTTTTTCGGTAAAGTCACGTAGGTAAAAAATGAAATGAAAATTAATACAAATAAAAGAATAAAAATCACGACGTTTCGGAGGCAACACAAGCTTCCGTCTTCAGATAGTTTGCTGTGACAGTTTCACCTGAAGACGGAAGCTTGTGTTGCCTCCGAAACGTCGTGATTTTTATTCTTTTATTTTTATTAATTTTCATTTCATTTTTTACCTACGTGACTTTACCGAAAAAACTAAGAGTATGATTGAAAGTTGCTTTAATCTATCTCCATTCATTTCCATTGCTCAATTCTGCGTGACTTTGACTGGTTGTTAAGTTCACCACGCGCGTGGAAGTTACTCCTCCCTCCGTACTCCTTCATTTCCACCTTCTATCCCCCCTCCCTCCTTCCTTCCCCAGAGATGAATATTTAACGGAGACATTGAATATTTATTTTGTTATTTTGGGTGTTGGATTTTCTTTTTTATTTGGGACTCACACACCACAGATGTCTCTTGTAAAATAGCCAGGAAACTTGCATAACTAGACCATCCGTGAGACAAATAAATGAACTCAGAACTGCAAATGCAACATCACCAACGATATCGTTATTTTGGGTATGATTTTCCACACATAATATGAATGTGAATGATATATCATGCATCGTGAACCTTTCCAGGCCTTGTAATATGTTCACAGAATTATGCACGTGTTGATGTAATTGACCCTTGATAAGGCGACCGCATATTCTGCGGGGCTCAACCAGAACGCATGGTAAACATGTTATTTTATTCTCTGAATTATATTTCCAGTTGTAAAAATAAGTTCCATTCAGAACATTGCGGATAGCAGTGCAACACGCCGTGTCAAAGATAAATACAAACGGTGGACGTTGCAGGAATATGAGAGGCAAGGTTTATGTACCTTTAAAAATAAAATCTATTAACCGAACACTCAACAATAACAACGGTAATATAAAATAACTATGAACATCGTTGTGCTGAATGTATGTAGCAAAATATATGAGCAGACAATATTTGTCTTTCATATATCATAAAAAAATAAAAGTATTTATTACGCAATCAGTTGGCCCTTCTAGGGTGAATAGGGGTGGATTCCGTACAAGTAAACTCTGGGCCGCTTCTGGACCCTTTAGGCCCTACAGTGTCAGCACTGTAGGGCCTGCTGATAGGACGCTGCTTGAATCTGCTCATTAAACACTGCATGTCAGAACGGATCCAGAGTTTGTTTGTCCTGAATGGATGCTGATGGAATCGTGCAATGACAAAGGAGTCAATGACAGTTCGATAAGAACCAATGCCGAAACGTCAGTTTGAAGAGGGGAACGTTTGCATTAAATTTACTCGGTTGTTGCTCCACGTCGCTTGAAACCGTGCCTTTGTATGTGTGTGTGCATGCGACTGCCAGTCATCTCAGTCAGTAATTCGTTAGGCGACGTGGTGCATATGTCACCACCACACTTAGTTTGCGAACAGTGGTTGTTGTTGTTGTGTGTGCGACTGGGCTCTGCGTGATCTGTGCGCGGTGCAGGTGTCTGATTCCCAAAGCGGACGTGAAGACGTTCATTCAGCAATGCATGGTGGCCGTCAAGACAAAGCCGGCGCATGCCAAGGCCCTGGCCGACGTGCTGGTGGAGGGCGACTACCGCGGCCACTACAGCCACGGCCTCAACCGCATGGGTAGAGTCTCCTACGCGTGCACGCCGGGGGCCACCGGCTACAGATCATCCGTAGCGTGAAGTCCCTTAGCAACGCAGTGTCACGGTGGCGAGACGTTAACTACCTCGCCTGATATGCAGGAGGTCATGGGTTCGACCACGACACCTTTATATTTGGAGTTTGCGTGTCTCTCTCCCCGTGGTCGTGTGGATTTTTCTCCCGAGTCCTCCGGTTTTTCTCTCCACGTTTAGAATCAACGTACAACATACATTTGGAGTGTTTAGCTGCTTTACATTTCCACATGATAAGCCACTTCATTGGGCTATTATTTATGATAGCCAGGTCACTTTTGAAAAATATCTATATAGCTCAGTGGGCCTTACCTGGTAAAATATCAAAAAAATGTTTATCGTCTTAACCATCTCATTGTACTACCAAAGCGGTGTGTCAGTACGACTGAACACGTTTTCGCGGTTGTGCTGCTGCATAGTTCTATGTGTTGTCGGGTGGTACCGCGTGCTATTCAGCACGATGTCCGACGTTTCGGGCCATGTGCTGGGAGCTTCTTCGCAAATTGCCACCAAAAAAAGCAGTAAAAAATATTCCCATGCATGAAAAGTTGTGCGTGACTTGATAAAGAAGCGCTAAAGCAAGATTTGGCGACATTCACACGGGTCACTGACATGGCCATATCGTCACCTCCAGGCTGCTTTGCCATTGCACTTCTCTCTGTGTAGACATGTACGTGAAGGACATCAAGTCGGGCATCTGCGAGAAGGATGGGGAACCAACGATTGAGAAGGAAACCGCAGCCACCGCCCTCGTGAATGGAAACAATTTGCTTGGGCCGGTTGTGGGCAGCTTCTGCATGGACCTGGCCATCAAGAAGGCCAAGGAGAGTGGCGTTGGATGGGTGGTGGCCCGGGGTAAGGCAGCATCGGCGCGGTTGACTGTGGATGGAATACATCTGTTGACTATTGACAAAAATATAAACACTTTACCGATTTCCATGTGCAGGTGTCCCTCGCATAATGCGTGACATGCGTCCCTGACATTGTACACGTTAGACGGTGGGGGGGTTCCAAAGAAAAATGAAGACTCATTTCACTGAATTATTTTAGCCCTGGATTTACAAAATACGTGTTCATTTAATACTGACTAATATTATGAAAATTCCAAAAAATACTTGAGTTAAATAATAAAAGATTCCTAGATTTGAAGCTTTCGTGACTGCAAGGATTCATACTCTTAGGTTTTTTCGGTAAAGTCACGTAGGTAAAAATAAAAATAATAGAAATAATAATAGAAAAAATGTTTAAAAAATATTTTTTTTATTTCTATTATTATTTCTATTTTAATTTTTACCCACGTGACTTTACCGAAAAAACCGAAGAGAATAAAAGAATCATAATTAAGATTAAATAGATTACTACTTATAAAGCAATACTTAATAAGGAGTATATTTAGGGCTTCTCGAATGCTTCCATGGGCAGCTTGCAGCATCACACGTGATTCAAAGGCGGCACAGATCTACGATGAATGCATTGAACTTCTTTCGCACCATACGTCGCCAACCGTGCTAATCGGAGGTGCCTGGTAAGGACAACAAACGTAGCACTGATTGGTGATGGAAGGAGGAGTAAGGGGGAGACGACGGTGATGGCTGGAGGCTGATGTGTTGACTGCTGACGGCAACACCCAGACGGTGACACTGCCATCACGCGGTGACGCCCATCAGAAATATTTTATTTACTTTGAAATGTTATTGTTGAAATCATTGTTTTTATTTAGAAAATGTTCATTTGACAACTTTTGGGTTTATTTTGTTTCTCGAGCACGTGACGATGTAACGCACAGCGTAAGTGTGAAGTACGCTCCTTAAAGATGAATCGCGTCACTGCTAATTCGCGCTATGTGGGGGGGGGGGGGGGCGTTACGTGAGAGCCGGCTGCAGTTTACAACTCACGCTGGTTGTATTATCCTGAAAGAGAAATGGTTTACAATGTTCACAAAGTGTTTCCTTCCCCCCACCCCCCTATTACACATTTATTCATTTTCCTGCACGTGGAAATGTTAACATTAATACCCTCGCTGAAGAGTATTTATAATTATTTTGCAGATTCATATTCTTAGGTTTTTTTTTCGGTAAAGTCACGTAGGTAAAACATTAAAATTAATAAAAGTAAAATAAAATAAAAATAAAAATCACGACGTTTCGGAGGCAACACAAGCTTCCGTCTTCAGGTGGAACCGTCACAGCCACGACAGCTGTATCAAGTAAATGAGAGATTGCAAGAGCTACCACTCCGTATATATAATGGTTGGAGAGGGGGGAAGGGCCAAGTACGGCACACTTTTTATTCATATGGTAAGGTGAGGCTTAAGAGGGTGAGCCTTTGTTATCGAGAGGTATGGTTTGTGACTCAGCCTGGCCTACATAACAATAGTGTGAAAAAAGAAACAACTAAACATGGTAAAACAAGCCTAGCTCTCTATCAATAACCTGTAATAGTTGTCTGTCAAATAAGATTGGCCAAATAAGTGTAGTTAAATCTTTTTTGCATGGTTAATCACATCTTTCCAATGATTACTCAGTTTGTAACCATCATCACGGTTGAAATTATGTCTGTGTTTGTATATTTGTATGGCTTCGTGTACAAACCTTTGATGGTAGCCAGCAGGTTTGCAGAGAACCTTGGTCTCGGAAAAGACAATTTCATGAGAGCCCACCGAGTTGTAGCAATGATCGGCAACGGCCGAAGAATCAGTTCTGCCGTGTTTCAGATCTGACTTGTGCTCGCGGACACGATCAGCAACATGACGTTTCGTTTCTCCAATGTAGCAATCACCACAAATGCAACTCAATTTGTAGACTCCAGGATACTGTAAGTCAGGAACGACATCCTTCACAGATGGAATCAGATCACGGATTTTATGCACTGTACTGAATCGGACTTGGATCTTATGTTTGTTTAGAATTTTGGAGATCTTTTTGGTCACGTGTGCTATGTATGGTAACGTGATAGTTTGTGTTGCCTCCGAAACGTCGTGATTTTTATTTTATTTTACTTTTATTAATTTTAATGTTTTACCTACGTGACTTTACCGAAAAAAAAACCTAACAATATGAATCCTTGCAGTCACGAAAGCTCCAAATCTAGAATATTTTGCAGATGTTTGATCATCCAACCGACATCATTCAATTGTAAACTTTTATTATGTTCAAATGCAGAATGTGAATACAGTTATTGTGCTTCTATTTCCCCAGGTTCAAATCATTATGGAATCGCTGGCTTCTACTCCATGCAAGCGCTGGAGCAAGGCATGATGGTAAATCTTGCTGTTATTTCCACGGTCTTCAGCTTTTAAAATACGATTAATCAACATCTCACAACGTTCACTGTGCGTGTGTGTGGATAGTAGAAACTTTGATAATTAACTTCTGGTAAAACAAAGATTTCCCTCAAGAGGTAGTCCGAAATATTACAATCTTCATTCTCCTAGCTCCCACATTGTTTTGTTCCACCCCCCCCCACCGGCTTATCCCGAGTGTCGCTCGTCACGTCGCCCCACGTGCCGAGAGCCCCGGACGTCGTGCCGCTCCAACCTGAAGGCCCAACCCTGTTATTTTTCATCTTTATTTAAATAGATTGTATTTCAACTCAGCAGAGCACCGATCACAGAAGAAGGGTGGGGGGGGGGGTGCAGGAATTCCACGAACAAAAGGCCGAGATCGGCGCGGCGTAGTGAAGCGGGGGGGGGGGGGGGGGGATTGGGCTCAGTGCCCTACCCAGGTGGGGGGGGGGGGGCGGCTCTAGCAGAGAAGTGAAAGTTTTTTTTATGGGGGGGGGGGGGGGTAAGGGGAGAAGATAACTAACATAACACGGGAGGAGGGTGGGAATGAAGGGGGAGGGGCCGGGGGGGGGGGGACAGAAAGTGGGGAGCTTATTGTTCATTATTAACACGGCGTGTTAGAAATATAAGTTTGTTAAAACAGTAACATTACAAAACAAATCATCTAAGGTGTATACCGTGCAGGAAGTCAATATGAGTACTCGTCATTCTGTAATGGGTATAATGCCGCATACAGCCTCCCTACGTCCAGGCACACACAACAGTGCCAATCACATCAGTCCCCAAACCCCTCCACTGGCTCCCAGGTTAATCAACTCCAAGCATCGCCCACACCATCTTAAACATCCTCCATCAGCTCACCCCAGCTGCCTCGTGAGCTCCTATGTCACTTGTGTGACCGATTCTGTTGGAACTGGGACATTACACATGGTCAGTCGCACTCAGCCTGTCACCCGACCGAGCCGATGATGATGAGTAACGCTCTGCAGGAAGTCAACAGTAATGATACTACGGACTGGTCTCCACCACAAGAAGGTGGAATTTCCACAAAATAGCTCATAGCCATCAAATAAGCGATAACTGATGCCCCATTGCGAGATCGGAATCAGAGCTTACCGTGTAATGAGTTGTCATTAAAATTCGATTTCTCGGTTAATTCTCATAACCGTGCTTTACGTGGTCAGTTTTAAAAACACGTAATTTGTTAATTCCAAAATATGGTTGACGCGCTAATAGTAAGTGGCACGGTCATTATTTCGTGCAGATATACAGAATCAGAATATGAACACTGGAGGAATCCGATGAGCTATAAAGCTCTTCTTCGCAGATGTCCAGTAGCGTTGACATGAATGAAATTCATTAAGATATTTAAACGCGACATGTTTTGCTTGTTTGTTCTAGGGAATGAGCTTCACGAACACCTCTCCGCTGGTTGTGCCAACGAGAGGGAATGGAAGTAAGTCTCGTGCCAAGCGACGTGCCTCGTTAACGCACCAACTCCTAAAGCCAGATCACTCCCCTTTGCACAAGCAGCGGCACACACAAACAAACATTCACGCTGTTTGCCTGCACAACACGTCGAGGCATTCATGTGTTCACACATGTGAAGTGTGCGAACAAGTCCCGCTGGAAATTTAACGTAGATTTTGAAGGATTTGAACATTAAAATGGCACTAATATTTACATAGGCCAATGTGTTCGTAAAAGTTATTAATCGGACGGTAGTTTTGAGCGGTGTGGTTGAATGAATCACAAACACATGTGGCCCATTCCTGTACTTCTTATCAATGCCGGATGAAGCTAGTGCGGGGCATGTATCATATGTTATGAAGGGACCCTAAATAGAAACAAACACTTAGATATTAAAACACACATTTTTAACTTCAGTAGTACAGTAATTGTATTTTTTTCATTTTCTATACAGCCAGATAATACGACAAATAGCTAACCTTAAACACCCAGTCGTTCGTAAAAGTTGAAGGCAGTATAGTACTATAGTAGTAGAGCAAGTGCAGAATCACTGAACCGTAATTGATAGCTTGAAAGCATTTAGCGCGGGGCTCTTGAAAGTGCGGGGCCCGTAGCATGTGTAGCTACTCTTGCTACTAGGATGATCCGACACTGCTTCTTATATGGCCCCGACCATCGTGGGACTCCCTACCTCGTCCAAAAGAGGGAACAGCTGAGAAGTTGACGAGCTTAAAAAAAGTTTTAACAGTCACTTGTTCAGCTTGGCATTCACAAACGAATATTCACAAAGCTTCGCCAAATGTATGGTTTCAGATTGGCATATATATTATTCTGCCATGGTTTTTACATTTTATTGGAGAATTATAATTAATATACAGGAAGCTTGGTATCACAAAGGCACCTTAAAATAAAAGTTAATTTAATTGATAGAGAAAGTTTATCAGAATCCGAATATGTATTTATGCTGGAGGAAGCCAATGAGCTATTAAGTTCGTGAAAATGCCGTCTCATAGTATCTCACAATGGATAAAACCGTTAGAGAAACACCGTATATTGCTGGATTAGTGGTTCGTATAGAAATCAGCCCATGAGAACAACAAGTACTTGTTTACCTGTGTGTGACCGCTGCCTCGCTGCCACAGCCCGCTCCTGAGCCGAGGCCAGCAGAGGGCCTCCTGCCGCCTGCCGCCTCCTCCTGCCGCTTCTCTGCCTCCGCTTGCCGTCTCTCGGGACTGTGATGTCGCTCGGTTGCCGCTCCTGCCCCAGCTTGCCCGGGGGCCTTCCTGGCTACTTTCGGTGATTTGTTGTCGTTTCCTGGGGCTGTCTCCCACCGTGGGCTGCTCTGCTCCATGCCCTTGTTTTGCCAGGCTTCTTGCCCCAGTTTGTGTCGGGGCAGTGACGAGCCGGCCCGGCATGGATCTGGAGGAGAAAAGTAAATTTTTTTCCACTGCAGAAGCCGAGCCGAGCTGTGCCGCTAACATCACTTGCGATAGAGAAGAAGTTGAGTTGCGTGTAGATGACACTGTGATACCGTGCCCTTACAGTGTACTGAGGACACACGTTGGCGAGATGTTAACTACCTCGCCTGGTATGCAGGAGATTGGTGGTTCGATCCCAACCCTGACACCTGCTGTATATTTAGAGTTTGCATGCTTTCCCTGTGGTCGCGTGTATTTTATTTCAGGTCCTCGGTTTTTCCCTCCACATTTAGAAACATGCATTTAGAGTATTTGGCTGCTGTAAATTTCCACGTAATAAGCCACTTCGTTGAGCTGTCATTTGTGATGGCCAGGTCACTTCTGAAGATTAACTACAGTGAGGGAAAAAAGTATTTGATCCCCTACTGATTTTGTACGTTTGCCCACTGACAAAGAAATGATCAGTCTATAATTTTAATGGTAGGTTTATTTGAACAGTGAGAGACAGAATAACAACAAAATCATCCAGAAAAACGCATGTGAAAAATGTTATAAATTGATTTGCATTTTAATGAGGGAAATAAGTATTTGACCCCCTCTCAATCAGAAAGATTTCTAGCTCAGTGGGCCTTGCCTGGTAAAATAAAATAATGCATTTTTTGAATGCTTCATCAGCTTCGCCACTGGCCCTGTTTGTCCCCGAGCTAAAATCGGACGTCTGGTGAGGTTCTTGAATCACGATTTCGTTCTGGCTCGGCATGGCAGATTGCCAGTAGAAAACCACCTATGCCAATGTGGGGGGGGGCCCTTGCTGGCTCAGCTCGGATGTGCAAGTGTAAAATGGGTGTATCTGTGCCGCTACCTTAATGAGTTTGACATTTTTCTTTGATCTAAATGACCCCCTCCCCTAATTGTTCTAGAATGTTACACCTCAGTTATAAACACTACTCTCCTGCCATATCTGCATGAAGTATACATCTCATGTGTAAATGTACAGGTGTCAATGGTATTCATACGTCTATATGCCGCTGTCTAATGCAAAATTTCAGTGCTTTGAATCTTTAGTGTTTGGCGTTTCCCCCATTTTAGAGAAATTGGTGGGTGTACCTGTCTTGTTTTAACATTTGCATGGAGAATGTTCAAGTGATATTTAATACAATAAACAGGGCAACTGTGCATTTGGTTTGGTTGCAAATGTATAGGCATGAAAAAATGATGATGACAATTTAAACAGCTTCAACAATGAATAACACCATATAATGTGTTTCAATGAATGTCAACACTTTAAGTCAAATCGTGCTAGATTATTTACGATTCCATTTATCAGCGCGTTTTTGTCTTCAACAATTCTATTCAAACGTCACGTAGCCAATCAATATCACAATTTGAAGATTTCAACAACAATAAGTAGTATTTAAAAGCAACTTTTTTTAAACACGCTTTAATTAAATGTACCGTACAAGTAATGGCAGAACTCCACGACTCCAGGAAGTGGCCCCGAAGCTTGCCATAGCGTAAGGGGCCGTGGTGATTTACAGCTAACGTCAGTTGAGCGTGGACAATTTGACCCAAGCCGAAACATAGCATATATAACAGAATGTTTAAAAATATATTTTATGATAGAATATAGTATTGTCATCAGTATGACATAAGTATACCAAGTTTGCAGTCGATACCACATTGGGAAGTGGGTTAAAATTTAGTTACAAGATTTGAGGATACGACAACAGACAGAGTGAGTTAAATAAAAGCATGTAAAAAAAGTTTTATTTTTATTTTTAATGATATAATATAATATTGTCATCAGTAATGACATAAGTATACCAAGTTTGCGGTCGATACCACATTGGGAAGTGGGTTAAAATTTAGTTACAAGATTTCAGGATACGACAACAACAGAGTGAGTTAAATAAAATCGCGTCATAAAAATCGACATTTTCAACATTGCGAGGAGCACAACTTACAGAGAAAACAAATTCTGTTTTTTAAAATATATATAATCATTGTCTCCGCAATTGGCCACGTAGCGTTTACGTCGGCAGGGGCTCTCGTGTGCGTGTATGTCTCTGGCCTTGACATTCTCCCTTGTTCGGGTGCCACCCCATTGCAGTGCACTCTGGGAACAAACCCCATCAGCGTGGCGGCACCAGCTGGGAAGGACGACAGCTTCGTGCTGGACATGGCCACGTCAGCCGTTGCACTGGGCAAGGTAACCGCACCACCACGCGCTCGCAAGAATAATATTATATCATCATCATCGTCGTCACGATCCACAGGCGGATAGCCTGTTAGGTGTCCCACTGCCCATTTCGTCATTTGTTTCCAAAATTTCCCCTGCCTTGTGCCAATATGCTCCAGTAGCGGCCACATCTTCCTGGCACCAATCTCTTCTGTCGTCATTTTACACGGCGGTGGAAAATGAGCCACTTGCATTTCAAAACGCTGATGTACGACATTTGTAGCACGCGCGAGTTTTTGCTAAAGAGGCGCGGCAGACCACCGACAAGTGCCAAGGCGGTCAGGGCAGGTGCCAACAAATTGCCCAAGCTCTGTGGACCTTTTTGTACATATCTGGCCAACTCCATGAACCTGTCACAGCGGCTCGCTATAGGTTACCAAGATGAAATTATCACAAGAGGGAGGGGACGTGGCGATGTTCACGTAAATCTCTGCCGGTTCCACCCCCGGGCTGTTTCGGGACCCACACACGCGTGCGCGCAGGTCGAGTTGCATGCGCGCAACCAGCAGACGATTCCCGAGGGCTGGGGCTGCGACGCGAAGGGCGCCGTCACGCAGGACCCGCAGAAGGTGCTGGACGGAGGAGGCCTTCTGGCCCTGGGAGGAACCGAAGCCACAGGTGCAGTCTGTTCTCCCATAACGCCGCATGTTATTTTCGCAACGCGAATTGTATATAACGCGATGAATGTACCAGGGAACGTGTTTTTTTTTTTATCACGCGGATGCGAATCAGCTATAACGCGATTGAGTGAACCAAACTATGTCGCGCGAGTAGGAATAAGCGGTGGTAGGGCTGCCTTGGCGTAGCATCATACGAGGCGGGATGCTGCTGGATGCTTCTGGATGCTACCCATTCACCTCAGTCTTTGTTCAGCCTGCGTACACATCTCACGTGTTACCGCGGACTGTGGTTTAGCTTATATTATTTACTATTTATTATAACGCGAGCGAGCCACATTGCACCGCGAGTCACGGGGGTTGACAGCCATACCTTACCATGCTGGTCACTTCCCCCATATATAAGATACTGCTATCAACCTATAGGGTTTTAAAAGGGCCCATCCCACATTACTAATACATTTATATATTCCATCAAGGTCCATAAGGTGTTCTGATCTCCGACTGCTCAGCACTCCCAGGTCTCTAGGTTGTGCTCTTTTGGTGATCGGGCTTTTGTTAGTGTGGCACCCATGCTATGGAACGCCTTGCCACTTGAAATCAGGAAATCGGTAGATATGTTTAAATCTGGTTTGAAAACCCATCTCTTTAAAATGGTCTTCCCTCTCTAGTTTGATCGGTGGCCCTGGTTCTGTTTTTTGTTTCACTGCTTTCCATGCATTGCGCATTGGGATCCTAGAATGGAATGCACATTATATATTTGAATTGTTATATATAAGAGGTGACGTTTTGAACAATGACCCTTCATAGCACATGAAGAGGGGCCATTGCCTCAAACGTTGCCTATTATGTCATTTTTTAAAGCCATACACAGTGGTATTGATGATTGCGTTGAGCTTTTTCCCCCCACTACAGTAGAACCCCTATTAACGACCACCCCTGTTAATGACTAATCATTTACGGGCGGGCCTCCATAGAGCCAAATGTGTAGTGTATAGTAGTGTAGTGTATAGTGTAGTGTATAGTAGTGTAGTGTATGGTAGTGTAGTGTATGGTAGTGTAGTGTATGGTAGTGTAGAGTAGAACCCCTCTTAACAACCACCCTTCTTAACGACTAATATCTTAACGATGTGCCTCCATAGAGCCCAATGTGTAGTTTATAGTGGTGTAGTGTATAGTGGAGTGTAGAGTAGTGTAGTGTCTCTATAGAGCCCAATGTTTAGTTTATAGTGGTGTAGTGTATAGTGTAGTGTAGAGTAGTGTAGTACCTCCATAGAGCCAAATGTGTTCGCTTACCGACCATTCCCCAGTTAATGACGGGCTGTTGTAGGTACAGTAAATATGAATTAATGCATTGTTTAACCATGTTTATCTAAATATTATGTGTTCATAATGTTGTTAGTATCTTTAGGTATTGATATACATTGTTTAAATGTTATAAAGTGCTTTTTTGGGGTGAAAAAGGCTATAACTTTCAATGCTTTCGGAACGAATTAAGCCTTTAACGTGTATTTCCTATCCGCGCTTAACGACCAAATCACTTAATAACGGATTTTGTGGAACCAATTACCGTCGTTAAGAGGGATTCTACTGTAATCCAATGAGAGTCTCTCTCCCGTCCTGTTGGTGACGCCAGGAGGCTACAAGGGCTACGGCCTGGGCATGATGGTGGAGGTCTTCTGCGGCATCATGGCTGGTGCTACCTACAGCAAGAATGTCCGCACCTGGAGGGAGACCAACCGCGTGGCCGACCTCGTAGGTGTCTCAAAACTGTTCACTGATGAATGTTGCAAGCGAGAATTTCATCATCGTTTGCTGCTGGCGTTGGTATCGTCCCCCACTCCTGCAGATGTCGAGGGTAAATGGGCGAGGTTTAGGAATGTGACTCAGGCAGCTGCAATGGCTGCTTTGGGTACACAGTCCAGACCTTCACAGAGACGCTGGCTGACAGAGAATGTGTTCAGGATGGCTGAGAAAAAGCGACTGGCCCACTCTAATCGTCTACAGCATTCCATGTCAGAGAATGAGGAGGCTTACCGCAGCCTTCACTCGGAGGTTTGGAGAGGCGTGAGGCGCTGCAAGGATGGGTGGTGGTCGCGGGTTGCTGAGGAGATGGAGTCTGCCTCAATGGCTCATTATTACAAATCCCTATTTAACACCATTAAAAAGTAACCTGCAGCGCCACACCTATTACCATCATTAGGGCAAAAAACGGTGATCCAATCTCCGACCCCCAGGAACAGGTTTGCAGATTTGCTGAGCATTTCTGTGAAGTTCTGAGGGAAGGAAAATCCCTCGACATGGAAAACATCGTGGGACAAAGTGGGGATAACCCTGCTGAGACTGCGGTGCCTCAAATATTGGAGGAGGAAGTCTCCCCTTGTGAGTGGCTGGCTGAGGTGCCATCTGTTGAGGAAGTACTGAAGGCAATCAGAGTCTGAGACCAGGAAATGCACCGGGCAAAGATAATCTCCCAAACGCAATTTGAGGGAGGGTGGCGTTTGTGCAGAGGCTGCCCTACATGACATCATAACAACATTCTGGACCACTGGACGTGTTCCGCAGGATTGGAAGGATGCCCTTGTGGTCCCCCTCTTTAAGAAGGGGGACCGCACAGACTATAATAACTACAGGGGCATCTCACTCCTCAGTGTGCCGGGAAAGGTCCTGACAAGGATTATTCAACATCGCCTTGCTAGGCACGCTGAGGAGAGGCTTGCGGAGGCTCAATGTGGTTTCAGGAAAGGGTGGTCCTACACAGATGCCATATTTTATGTCCGTTTGCTACAGCAGTGGTGTAGGGAATTCCAACAAGACTGACATCTTTGCTTTATTGACCTGGTCAAGCCCTATGATACCATCAGCTGGCCTGGGCTCTGGGTTGTTCTTCGTGTTTTCAGAGTCCCTGACCCTCTGCTCACGATCATTAAGGACCTTCATAATGGTGAGTGGGCCCGGGTAAAATTACGTGGCCGGGAGTCGGAGCCATTCCCTGTTCACCTTGGGGTGCGACAGGGATGTCCTCTGACTCCCAAATTATTTAACATATTTTTCGACCACGTAGCTCGTGAAGCCTTTGATGGCTGTACCAGAGGAATTTCCATCTGGTACAGATACAATGGGAGGGTGATCGATGCCCGGGTGCGGTCAAGGGATGGCTCCCTATTGGTCAACCACGTTATGTATGCCGATGATCTGGTAATTTCCACTCACTCAGAGGAGGAGTTGGAGGCGCTGCTGCTGAAACTGGAGCGTGCCACTAAGAGGTGGGGCCTTACCATCACCCCCACCAAAACTAAGCACCTGCCTGGGTATTTTGTACCATCGGGCACTCCACCCCCACAACTCCCAATCGGTGATGGGGCAGTTGTGGAGAGAGTGGAGAGTTTCCCATACCTTGGCAGTGTGCTCATGACCGGCTCCGGTTTGACAGCAGAGGTCTCACTCGGAATCAGTCAAGCAACATTATCTTTTCATCGGTTGCGTAACGCTGTGTGGAAGCTACCTGGTCTGTCGCTCCTCACGATGCTTCATGTCTTCTTGGCCACAGTCATTCCCTCCCTTATCTACGATTGCGAAACATGGACCCCCATGGAGCATCTTCGCCGATTGGAAACATTTAGGCTGGCCTGCCTACGATCCATCCTGGGTTTAACCAGGCTGGATTGTACGAGGAGCTCACAAATGCTTGAAAGATCTGGGCAAAGTCCCCTCGGTAAGCTCCTCTGGCAGGCAAGGCTGCGTTGGCTGGGTCATGTAGCCCGCATGCCTAGTCACCGCATGCCTAAACAGCTTTTATTCGGCCGGATAAAGGGGGCTAAACGGGCGTGTCACAGGCTAGAGAAGAGATGGAGTGATGTGGTACAGGAGGATGTGGAGCTGAGTGGACTTGCCAATGACTGGTACCAGCGGTGTCAAGGCCTCTGTGGAGGAGGCTCGTGAAAGACGCTGCTGGGCAGTTGGAGGCAGTCGCCCTCCAACAACAACGGAGGGCGGAGGATCGACGCTCACAACAACGAGCGGAGCGCCGGGTGGCTAAAGCAGAGCAAGTTGGCACAGTAGGGGGCACAAGTGGTGCATCAGCCAGTCATCTCAGTCAGTCGACCCGTGGCACCTGGGTCTGCCCCGTGACCTCCTGCCAGCGGGCATTCGACACTTCACGGGGCCTCAAGGTGTACATTGCCTGGCAAAAGCGTCGTGGTGACGTCACCACCACTTAGTGGCGAATGGCGGTTGTTGTTGTGCTCACCTGTTTGTGCTCACCTGTGTATGCTTACGTGTGTGTGCTCACCTGTGCAGGGGCAGTGTTTCGTCGCCGTCAATCTCAGCTGCTTTGCGCCAGGCTTCGAGTCTCGCATGGCTGACCTCTTGAGCATCCACCGCCACTTGCCGCCGGTACGAGGTCACTTGCCATTTCGGAAATGACACAACAAACAAACTAATTTATTTTATTTTAGCAGGTAAGGCCCACTGAGCTATGTAGCTCTTTTCCAGAAGCGACCTGGCCACAAATGATAGCTCACCTAAGTGGCTTATCATGTGGACATTTATAGCAGTCAAATACTCGTTGATTCTAAATGTGGAGGGAAAAACTAGGGGACCTGGAGAAAAGTCCACGCGACCACACCTCTGTTTAGCATGGTCGGCTACGTACGGTGTGAAAGAAGCTCAACGTAATACACTTCAAACCGTGCGACGCCCATGGGAAGGGGATTTCACAACACCTCGTGTGATCCTCCAACCCCTCATCGCCTCCACGGCACCGGATTTCAGGCGTGCATAGTCACCACCGGCACCGCCACTGCCCATCTGTCCAGTCGCATATATTTCTTGTCATTACTGGACCCAACCTCTGCCCTCCGTTGATATTCCATGTGTGTGCTGTACTTGCTGGCAGGCGCCTGGGGCCACCAGCGTGCTGGTGCCTGGCGACCCGGAGCGCCAGCACATCGCCGAGTGCGAGGGCAAGGGCGGCATCCCCTACTCTGTGCACGTCGTGAGCCACATGGTACCAAGGCCACAGACAGCAGCACCACACGCATAGCGCCCTGTCATTCCTACAGTCTGTTCTCCTACAACGCGGTGGTAGTTGCATTCCTGAAGAACACCACGTTATGGGAAAAATCGGGTTATTACAAATAATATACAATATAGGGGTAAAGCACAGCCCGTAATAACACGTGAAATGCGTACGCAAGCTGAACAAAGACTGAGGTGTGTAAGTAGCATCTAGAAGCATCCAGTGGCATCGTTGGTTCTCCAGCTAAATCCTCAGTGTTGCGGAAACTCACTGAATATAGAAGCGTCTACAACAGCGTTGCAGTTTAAAAGAGTGCTGAAGTGTTCCTGCCAGCGGGAGATGATTGCATTTTTGTCTTTGAAGATTTCTGTCCCATCTTTAGACTGAAGTGGTGCAAGGCCCTGTTTTGATGGTCCATATAAGACTTTGGTTGTTTTAAAAAATTCACGTGGGTTATTGGAATCTGCGAGATGTTTATTTCTTCTGCTTTGTGTCTGAACCAGTTGTTCTCCAGTTCAAGGATTTTAGTTTGTACTTCCGATTTGGCCTCCTTATGATTGTATTTTTCTGGCTAGACTGTTTGTGTTGTTGCCAGGCGATGAATGCTTTCCGCTTCTTGTCAATGAGGCCTGCGATTTCCTGGTCGTTGTCATCAAACCAGTCACAGTTTTTTTCTTCTTGTGTAGCCAATGGTGTTTTCACAGCTGGTTATAAATGCCGTCTTCAGTTGTGTCCAGTACTCATGAACATTTCCTGAAGCCTGGTTGGTGCTGAGTCTTTAAGCTAGTTCTTTCAGTCGGGCCTATACTGCTGGATCTTTTAGTCTGGTTACCGTGACTCTTTTCCTCTGTAGCTTTGGTCAGTTGATGTGTTTGTGGTTTAGATTGAGAGTCATCACTGATCGAATTAGTCTGTGGTCAGTCCAGCAATCGTCTGCATTGATCATGGCACGAGTGATGCGGACGTCTGTGCTGTCAAGCTTCCTGACAATCACGTCGTCTAGTAAATGCTAATGGTGTGATCGAGGGTGGCACCAGGAGGTCTTGAGGCTATTCTTCTGCCTGAATAGCCAGCACGTTTCCAGGTGAGTCCAGACAGGCCTTCTTGGTTAACGAAGCGGCCCAGGTGGTCGAACCACCCACCATACTTCGCCCTGTCTGGCAATCCTGGACTTTACCTGTTACCACCTCCCGCGATGTGGGCGAGGGGTTGGTTTTTGGGAGGCAGTGGATGCGACAGTAGAGGAGCGTTGGCACAGGCAGGTGACGTTGTAGCCGACCCCGCTGGCGATGTGGGCCTATTTATACTTACTGAGTATCCGTGTCACGTGGTGTCCACCACGTCAGGTGGGTATCGTTGGTAGTGATACAATGGTGGAGGGAATCTAGCCGAGCGTGACTCAATGTAAGTCCAGAAGAGGTTTCTTACTCTTTGTAAAAAAGATAAAATAATAAATGTATTATTTTATCTTTATATGTGACTTTACCGAAAGAACCAAAGAGTAATTCCTGCAGTCACGAAAGCTCCAAATTTAAGATAGAGGTTTCTTGTTTACCTTGTGAAAGACCCAACGTAGTTCTCTGGCTTTGATCTTCCACGAAGCTCATGGTCCACCCTAAAACGCATCCACTGCACAAACGATGGCAGTAGATGCAGATACCTGATGCACAAATGGAAAATTAAAAACGCTTCAGCGTGTGACTACGATTATCCAGAACAGACCGTACAACGTAATACGACTCAATCCCCGATCCACAAATACGAAGCAGACATCACAGCGATACACTCCGCTGCGCCTGATGCGGTCATGTGACTTGAACCACCTGAAAGTTAAATTGTAGCTGTTGCTCTGCATCTACATCAGCCGTACGAAATAAGAAGATTTACCTTTAGAGTGGGGGAAACCCCTCAGGTGATTTTTCCTTTTCCATGTTTTTTTTTGCTTTAGTTTAGGAAAGGTGGAAAAATGTCGGTGTTTGATGAAACAGGACCCTGGTAGTGACAAAGTAAATACTGCATTAAATACTGCAGTAAAAATCCCAGGAATTTCCTGCTCATATGAGCTTCGAAGTATCGGTGCTCATCTCCTGTTGATAGCCTTTGCACCAATGGGGGGACATTCCCCATCATAATGACAGGGGCAAGTTTCTCCATAGAGCGAACACTTTTTGACTTCCACACAAAGCGCGACTCATTATATAGACCCCAGATGAATAATGAGTCAACTCCCAAACAGAATTTGAACTCACAAGCTACTGTGAGCCACATGCTTTGCCACTCAGCCACAAAGCCGTTCGATCGCTCTGTCTGAGAGTCGTTGCATTGCAGATGCACCATCTTCAAATGTATATATTCGTGGCAGTGGGAAGTTCTGTGGTCCACAATTTGGTGTTCATGGCCAAGGTTACACACACACAGAGGAGCTGCTGGTGGTAGTTGGTACCGCCATAATCGTGTGAAATGTTCTTTTTATTCTTGCAGAACAATGTGGCGAAAGAGCTGGGCGTTGCACCCCTGCCAGTGTCAGTGATGGACAAATGAATAACAAAGTGCATCGGACACAAAAGTGGGATTGTACGCAAAGAGCTTTAAATCATTCGCTATCGTCTGGTTCCGCAATGTGGGTGTTGATGAACGTAGGAATGCGTTGTACGTTTCTACTAAATGGGGGGGGGGGGGGGGGGTGTGATAGTGGAAGTGCTTAGGTTGGCATTCAATTTGTGCTTTGGACAAGTCGACGACTTTTTTGGGTTTTACAGACATCCGCTGCGTTTTAATGTCATGCAGTACGGCAAGAGGCGAGTCGTGCTGTGGTTGTACACTGCAGCCCCCCTCGGGATGTTTCCGCTGTTGGCACAGCGCGTCGTTCGGCACGACGTCCCACGTTTGGCTCCGTGTCCTTAGAAGCTTTTTCAGGAACCGAAGAGGCTGAAGAGCCAGCGTCATTATTGTTGTAAAAATTACAATAAAAAAACCCACTGTGGAGAGCCCTTGTCAAAATGCTTCATAAAATCTTATTCGATCCAATGATACATTTGATAATCTCTTAACGGTGAACAAACCCAATGCCTGGTGCTACTCTGAAGATTGTATCTTGTTAACACTGTTTCTTCGTAAAAAAAAGTGTACATTTAGAAATGAAATGAACACTAAATACGCTCAACTTTAAGTGTGAAGAAACAATTTATATGTTGTAGTTATGTACATTGGAAATTAAAAAGTATTGTGGTAGGCATCTTCATATTCTGTTGCTAAAATTAACAATATAGTATTGGATTATGTTTTAAGATGACATACAGCAGTATAACAATTTCAGTATGGAATTATAATAGATTTACTTTCAGTTTAATGAGCAATCGCATTGTAATTGGCTTAATTGCTGCAGCATAGAACTATCAGTTTATTATTATCTGACGACATGAACCACCAAAGTTGTTCAGAGGTAGTGAGCTGCTCGCAAATTGAAGGTTGTGACTTGGGCAATCATCCCTCTGGGATTGACAAATATTACTACGACTTTGTGGGGTAGTCAACGCTGTTTATCCTTTTCAATGACTGAATGGCGTTCAAAAAAACTCACAAGCCAACACCTCGTGAAAGACCCAAGACAGAAGATCCCTGGTTTTTATCTTCAACGAACCTCGTGGTCCACCCTCAACCGCATCCGCACAAATCATGGCAGACGCGGATACCTGATGCACAAATGTAAAAGTAAAAAGTCGCCAGTGTGCGACCGTGGTAATCCAGAACTAACCATAACACGCATAACGATGAAATGCCCGGTCCACAAGTACTGAGGCATCACAGCGCCACTACTACGCTGGCTACTGTTGTAGTTCTAGAGTTGAAGCTTTCGTGACTGCAAGGATTCATTTTTCGGTAAAAATAAGTAACGAAAAGATTTGTATTTATTTAATAAATATATTTAGTCTATAAAATAAATTATGAAATAATAAAAAGAAAACAGATAGTAGAAATAAAATTATTATTTTATTTCTATTACCTTTATATGTTGTGGTTATTTGTCTTGACCACCTGAATGTGAAATAGTAGTTGTTGCTCTGCATCTCCATCAGCCGTACGCAAGAAGAAGACCCCTTTATATCCCCACAGACACCGATAGACCCCACTGACCCCATACTCGCTCTATAAGACCATGATCCACTTCGGCACTTGTAGAGCAATCGTTGCCAACAATCATCACTGGCATTGGTTGCCGCAGAATTTCCGATTGTTTAAAATGGTGTTACACGAAAATCTAGACACACCTAATCGCAGCGTCCCCTTGTGGGCAACTGGGATATCAACTTGAATCAGCTCACAGATGTAGATCATTTGACTGCCCGACGTCAGACCCTCTTCATTTGATAAAAAAAATACGTATTGGCGGTACACAGGTGCAGCATAATACACCAGTCCTCGTAAAACAGAGTGACGACGTCGCTACTGCCTTTGAGTGAGCCGCAGACTCCCCATCAGAATTTGCCTTCGATTCAGCTACTGCTTTCCCATTTGAACGTGTGGTGACACCACGAGTCATAATCTTTTGATAACACGAAATGATTGCGGAGATGAATCGAGGAACGGTCCGGCCAAGTCTCAGGGCACGAGAGTCAAATCTGCCTTTGGGACACGGAGCAGCCAATCGTCATCAGGCTCGGTGCTGCATTACGGCAACAGACTGTGAAGCTTCGTTCTTTGGTTTTTTCGGTAAAGTCACGTATAAAAATAAAATAATAAATTAAATAATAGCATACGACGTTTCGATTGCAACACAAGCAATCATCATCAGGTATAATGAAATAGCGACATAGAATATAACCAGAAAACTATAGACAGACATATAAGCAGACAGATATCACCAAGATACATAGAGAGAGCAACCCAGGTACAGAGAGAGGTGATCGTCTCTGTGGGGTGGCCTTAAATAGACAGAGGGGGGCGGAGGCAGAGAGAGGGAGGGGGTAGGGAAAACATTTACATGTCAATGAGTACGAAGGGAGGGGAGTAAGGTAAGCAGGCTTAGAGGGAGACAGAACACACTAAATTAAATAACCTAGCAAAGTATCGAAATGTTATGTAAAACGACACAGAGAGTCGGTCAACACACAATTAACGCATTGCCTGGTCGATTACGTATTTCAAAGATTGCTAAGTTAGAATTTAAGTGTGAAAATTCCAAAGAAAGACAAAACATAAAAAAGAGGAACGGAGACACACAGACAGAGCAGAACCTAAGAACGATACAAAACGAGTGTAGACAGAGAAAATTACACTAAATATACAGGCAGAGAGAGAGAACAAGAACCCCAGAGAGAGAGAAAAAGGTAAACTTGGAACTTCCCCGTAGAAGTGGTTCGATCTTAATTTTGGAGCTTTCGTGACTGCAGGAATAATTCTTTGGTTTTTTCGGTAAAGTCACGTATAAAAATAAAATAATAAATTAAATAATAGCATACGACGTTTCGATTGCAACACAAGCAATCATCATCAGATATAATGAAATAGCGACATAGAATATAACCAGAAAACTATAGGACAGACATATAAGCAGACAGATATCACCAAGATACATAGAGAGAGCAACCCAGGTACAGAGAGAGGTGATCGTCTCTGTGGGGTGGCCTTAAATAGACAGAGGGGGGCGGAGGCAGAGAGAGGGAGGGGGTAGGGAAAACATTTACATGTCAATGAGTACGAAGGGAGGGGAGTAAGGTAAGCAGGCTTAGAGGGAGACAGAACACACTAAATTAAATAACCTAGCAAAGTATCGAAATGTTATGTAAAACGACACAGAGAGTCTCTGTGTCAAAGTATCGAAATGTTATGTAAAACGACACAGAGAGTCTCTGTGTCAAAGTATCGAAATGTTATCTAAAACGACACAGAGACTCTCTGTGTCGTTTTACATAACATTTCGATACTTTGCTAGGTTATTTAATTTAGTGTGTTCTGTCTCCCTCTAAGCCTGCTTACCTTACTCCCCTCCCTTCGTACTCATTGACATGTAAATGTTTTCCCTACCCCCTCCCTCTCTCTGCCTCCGCCCCCCCTCTGTCTATTTAAGGCCACCCCACAGAGACGATCACCTCTCTCTGTACCTGGGTTGCTCTCTCTATGTATCTTGGTGATATCTGTCTGCTTATATGTCTGTCTATAGTTTTCTGGTTATATTCTATGTCGCTATTTCATTATACCTGATGATGATTGCTTGTGTTGCAATCGAAACGTCGTATGCTATTATTTAATTTATTATTTTATTTTTATACGTGACTTTACCGAAAAAAACAAAGAATAATTCCTGCAGTCACGAAAGCTCCAAAATTAAGGTGTGAAGCTTCGTGTTTATCTGCCTTTAACATTCGTCTACCGACTGCTTCGACATCACGAGAACTGATTTTGACGCACCACCGCGTAAAATTTTCTGACTGGGGGTTACGAATTTGCGGATAAATAAATAATCATTATACGTTTAAATCTCGGTTTCAAGTCCCTTCCTGAGTGGGACCTGTGCATGGACGTGATTTTGTGGAGAGACGGTGTGATTGTGTGTAGAGAGCGTGCGGTGGTGTGGTGTGATGGTTCCGTGTGATATGTTTGGAGAGATGGTATGGTGGTGTGATGCGATTGGCCCCCACAGACCCCCTACACAGCAATGTGGGGCTTGACAGAGGCCACCTCATCCACGATGGTTCCCCATCTGGTCAACTGGCACCCGGACCAGGGCGCCACAGTTGCGAGATGTTAAATACCTCGCCCGGTATACAGGAGGTCGTGGGTTCGATTCTGACCCTGACGCCTGCCGTATTTGGAGTGTGCGTGTCCTCCCCGTGGTCGCGTGGATTTTTCTCCATGCTATCCGGTTTTTTCTTTCCACATTTAGAATTAACATGCGTTTAAAATATTTTGCTGCTTTACATTTACACATGATAAGCCACTTCGCTGAAAAAGAGCTCTATAGCTGGTAAAAGAGCTCTATAGCTGGTAAAATAAAAATATATATATATAGTTTATAATCCATCACGATCACATCCCACTCCAGTGTCATGTCCATAATGATGGTAGCAGCAGTGACTCGGAGCTGATCTGGAGGGTTTGCACCGCGGAACACACTTAGCAACCCTCTCGATCACCCACCCACTCACCACTCACTCAATTGTCCCCTTGCACGTGCTAATTCGGCCACTCATTCACCTGCTCACTCAAATCATTCAATTGATTTTTGCCCACTCACAACCACCTGCTCACTCAAATCATTCAATTGATGTTTGCCCACTCACAACCACCTGCTCACTCAAATCATTCAATTGATGTTTGCCCACTCACAACCACGTGCCACTCACTTGCTCATTGGCCCAATTACTTGCACACGATCTCACTTACTCCTTATCCATGAAACATAAACCCCAGTCATAACCCCCACCATTAGGCCCAAATGCTGATACTTACCCCACACTGCAACCCCTAATCCAGATGAACATAAACAGCCCAGTATTTATCAATCCACTACTGGATGAGGGCCTCCCAAAGTAGTGCGGATCATGAGGTACATATGACCATACTTGACCACGCTGGTCAGTAGTGCGTTGGTGCAGATGGAGGGGGGGACTGCAGAGCAACAATGGAGTTTGTCTGCAGTCCTTTCCTGCTCACAATGTTTACGGCACCGTCGTTTGTGCGTGCTGACAACCCATCAGTCATAGATCCAGGCCATATCCACGCTCAACTCTGCCGAGCTTCAAGGCCTCGTGAAATCGAGCACATACCGGGTGGTTTAGTTATAGGTCATCCAATCCATACGCATAAAACATCGTAACCCCTAATCCACATCCAGCCGTTGGAGTTCCGCCAACGCCACTAAGTGGCGAACGGCGTCTGTTGTTGATGTACGTCACTTCTCTTGTCTAAAGCACTCCGAAAAGCCTGGGCGAAAAGGACACTTAATAAAAAAAATAATTGTCATTATGAATATAAATAACACTACACTTACTTTGAGGATGGGACACACTTTAATATGACATTACTCAGACCAATCTGATTGATCGTTATGTTATTTCTTCCCCCAAACATATTTAACTATTCTTTGGTTCTTTCGGTAAAGTCACGTAGAAAAAAAGAATAATAGAACACGACGTTTCGATTGCAACACAAGCAACCGTCATCAGGTGAGCACTGTATGTAAATGCAAGCTCGGAGAGAGACACATCTACAGACTTTTAAACAACTTTTATTGCCGCCAGAAGCAACAGCACTGGAGGCGAATTTCGATATGAAACACAGTCACCAGCAAACAAATGCAATTAACACTACAAATACACGCGCTGTGGCGCTAAAAGCACCGCGCACAACACGAAAGAAAAGCCACTTGGTTGTGGTGGTCATAGAGAGAGAGACAAACACAGACACGGAGAAAGGCAAACACAGAGAGAGAGACAAACACAGACACGGAGAACGACAAACACAGAGAGAGAGACAAACAGAGAGAGGGACTGTGAGAGAGAGACACAGACACACAGTGCTCACCTGATGACGGTTGCTTGTGTTGCAATCGAAACGTCGTGTTCTATTATTAATTTTATTTTTTTCTTCATACGTGACTTTACCGAAAGAACCAAAGAGTAATTCCTGCGGTCACGAAAGCTTCAAATTAACATTTAACTATCACGAGATGAATAATCCATTCAGAACGCTCACAGAGCAGAATAACGTCATCATCATCATCATCGCCTCGTGTTACAAAACACCTCTCGGAAGGAGATATCACAACTGTATATGAAATCTCAAGTGCCCATTTTATCCACACCATAAATAAGTTGACACAACAGTCGCTTCATTTGTCGAAGCGTTTTGTACGCATCCCATCAGATGCGTGGCCTTCTGCGATTGAACAACCCACAGCATTGTAAGTTCAACACAAGCAGTCTCCGACATGTCGTGTCTCATCAGCAGAGCCAATGTCGCTTGAAGCAATGGTGGTGAACTGCCAAACGTGTCGGGGCAAGGAGCCTCTTTGTTCGATATGGGTACTAATTGAACGCATACTTGTATACAGTAATACATGTAACACAATACTTATTTTTTTATTGTGGAGATTACAAGTAAAAAAGATTAAGAAGCTTCGTTTCATATATCTGTCCCTCTACATAGCACGTGAACGTTTAGTTGAACACATCGCTAAAGTATCATGACAATCTAGGAATGCAACTATTGCAGCAACGATGGTTCAATACAAGCAAACTCTGGGCCGGTTTTGGCAATGTCTCATCAGCACACGAGGGGGCAGCACTTTCACACGCACCCCGCTGGAGGAAAAAAAACGTTTGTCATTTAACAGTCAAAATTATATTTATAATGCTCGGAGATAGGATTTAACCGTACCAAGTGTAAAACATGAATGTAACACAATGAGGCTTAGTTTAAATTTCGATTTAAAGCTTTCGTCACTGCAGAGATTCATCTTCTTGGTTCTTTCGGTAAAGTCACGTAAAAGGGAAATAATAAAATAATAAAAATAAAACATAATAAAATAATTGTATTTTATTTTTTATAATTTTCTTTTATTTTTATTTTATGATGTTTTTATTATTATTTTATTATTTCCCTTTTACGTGACTTTACCGAAAGAACCAAGAAGAGGCTTAGCTTGTATCTTTTTTCGAGCGGGGTGAGATCATCAGCTCACTGGCCTGATTCACACTCAGGATGGCAGCAGTACTG